ACTCAACACCCTCCGATTACCGTTAATCGTATGCTTTACCGACTCACAAGGAGGAGAGATTAATATTTATATTTATCTTTTCATGTAGGCCTATCTATTTATATAGGCCTATCTATCAAAAAAGGACGTACCATCTTTTCAGAACTCTAATCGATTTTACGACGCCTCGATGTAACCATCTTATCCATAAGTCAATCATTATATTTATGAATTCTGTTGATTGCTTCACACAAGGTCATTCATGTCACTTGATTTATTGGCGTTTTCCGACATAATTACCAGCTAATGACATCGAATAAAAAGCCTAATTTATTTTCAAGCTTACCTCGTAATATTTCTTCATCTCATCAATGAAACAGGTTATGCTTAAATTTCCAGTTAGGCTATCTGTTTTGATAGCCAGCTCCTCGGCTCTTTCGCTTTCCAACCCTTTTATACTTTCACATAAATCCTGAAAATGTACCGATTGTGACGTTAGAAACGTATATATAGAGGATAAAAAAAGATGTAGTTATATAAGCGAAAATTAACAAACACCTCCAGGGATATGAAATATAAGGGGCAAGGGAAGGACTTACCGGTATAGTATGGCACCTATTAGTGGCCAAAAATGGCACTCTCAATCTTTAAAAATTTGACATAATTTTTCTTTTTTCCTCCATTTTTGAAAAATTTAGTGGGAGTGGGGCGAGCCGGCTGCCCTCCTCCTTAAATCCGCCACTGACCCCATAGAATAACCAAAAAAAATAAAATTAAATTAAAAAAAAACCATGGCGTTCACTTTAGCCTAGTACCAATATGATCAATGCCACAGTTAATGATTCTTGACGGAAAACAGAAATACCAAGGAAATCAACAATGACCAGTTTTACTGTCGGATTTGTATAAACACGGTAGAATTCTTCACTTCAAACCATAATGAACATGTTGACCTAACAGTATTCTCTGTCAATAAATTTCAAATTGTGGAAGAGTGTGATGCAATGCTAACATAAAATAAATAAATAAAAAATAAACCCAGAGTCCATCATTGACTATAGCACGGGTGTGGGCCTGTCTCTTATACACATCTAGATGTGTATAAGAGACAGGTCGACGGATCCAGAGCTTCATACTAACCATCTTATAATGGTGACAAGCACAGGGTTGGGTCGTGATCTAAGATAGTGTAATTTGTACTCGAAATTTCTGAAAATTTTCTAAAAAAATTTAAAAGAAAATCCAATACAATATTATATCATGTTTCTACAGCTGTTGTCTGATCTAACACCCACGACTAAATCCCTAAGATATTTGTATGTATACTTTATAACCGGTCAGTTTATTCCGGCAAATAATGTTGGTATATCACAGGGTAAAACAGCAATGCGACACACCGGCAAATCCGGTTGCGTCAAAAAACTGCTATTTACAACAAAAGAAAGTTTTATGAGATATAATGAAATTATAAACGAGGAAAGCCAATAAACAAGTGTAGTCAATTAGTGAAAAGGTGCAATGAAGTGAAAATGTTGATTGGATTTGGATTTATTCGGTTTAAACACCAGGATAAGACTTAGTTCCAGTGTGGTCCTTCTGGTGGTGATTGGGCAGTACACCGGGAGACAATCCCCTACTCGTTTCCGAAGAGTGTACTTCGTTCTTTAACGTGCACATGGGCCATAAAATGCACATGGGACCAACGGCTTAAACGTCTCATGAAGAGATGCGCTATTGTAACTTGTATTTCAGCTCTCCAGCTGAAACACAAGGAGAGGAAGCGTTGGGAAGAGGTCCTAGGGACCTCCACGGGTCAGCGCACACACAGTGGCTACCACCAGATTAGCCGACTGAGCTAAACTGCTCTCTCTCTCTCTCTCTCTCTCTCTCTCTCTCTGATAGGCCCCTATATAATATTATTGATATCCAATTATATTTTCTCTCGTTCTTTTACCTTATTTCACGTAATTCTGAAATTAGGATAATATTTTGAGAGCAATTAGTGTATTTTTAACACAGATAAATCGTATCACCTAATTACATATACTTATATATGTATAACAAATGTTCACAGGCATAGTGGTTGTATGCCGTGAAATCTAATTAGTATTCTTTTCACACGTCCACATCCCAAGTAGGACGTCGGTAATAATTATCAACATGAAGTAACAGTGAAATTGCAGAAAACATGTATTCGAAGTCAATAAATCGTACAATACCGATTCAATTGTTAGCTCACTAATAAAATCAATTGTCTGATACTCATATTACCCATGGTAATATTATTTGACGTTCAAACCCAATTTGCATACTCCACCGATCAATTAGACCATGTAATGAAGTAGACCTTCTATTGTCAAAAGGTATTGCTATGGAGCTTCGAATAGTACAACATGGTATGTTGTTCTAAGCAACCACTGGTGAGTCGGCTGTTGGCTGTTATACCAGTCAGAAAAAGCACTTTTTTGAGGTACCGGTAGCCCAACTACATTCAGTTTTATGTTACAAATACATGCGCATAATTTATAATAAATATGGGGAAATCACGCATAATTTGTCATACAATACTGTATATAATAATGTTGACAACTAGCCATCTTTTCCTCAAATTGAGAGAGTGGAATAAGGAACCTAAATAGTTGGTCCCTAGTGTGGCGATGATCACTTTTCTCAGATTAGCATTCAGATTAATGCCACCTAAGATGTTTTGTACCATTTTCTGGACATAGGCTTATAATACCACTGTTGTTAAAGTGAATTCAATAAATCTATCTTGAATTCATGGCCAGAAATAATTTAAATTCGAGCTTGACGACCCCAAATTGCGTCAACAAACACGTCCTGATAGCCTCCATCCTACTTGTAGAGAAAAGGAAGAGACAAAAGAGACACAGTATACGATCTGGATGATTGAAAGAACTAATTAAGATGAAGAAACCCCTATGACACGGGCACCATACTACACGAACTGATGTTACCAATATTGCATTTTTACATGCTTAGACAATACAAAATAAATGAAATATTACCCAAAATTCTTGCTGGTTTTCCGTTGGACTCAAATCGAACTTGGTATCTTGAATCAACCTGCCGACACACGTGGCATTAGTAAAGTGACATGAACTTAGGTCTTGGTTTTTCAGTCCCCATACCAAATACACCAATGCATTGTCGTCCTCGTCACTCGGTACGAATAAATTCTGACTTCGGTATTTGTTTATTTCAAAGACATGAGTATCCTTCAACAAAACAATCTGTTTTGGAAAATGAAGAAACCAGATAATCACAGTGTCACTATACAGATTTTAGTCTGTCACAATGAATTTAAGAATTGTTATATCTCAAAATATAAATAATAATTATGGAATCAATTACTTCAATACTGGATCGCAAAATAGATAGGCCGCTATGCTATATTTTAATATTATATATAGGCTTATTTATAGGCCTGTCTCTTATACACATCTAGATGTGTATAAGAGACAGAAGTCAATCATTGGTATTAAATAGCAGTCGCTCTCAGTAAACATATATTAAATTTGTAGCGTATGGAGACCAATAACCCAACGAAACACCTTGTGCATTAAAAAATCTGCATAGTGACCACCTAGAAATCTCACAATTATGTTTTGTTTTTTAATCTCCGCGTCCACAAGGTTCTCTTCGCTTGTTGCCTCTTGCACCGCTAAATCCCGGTGATTGCAGCAACAACAGCAATATTTCTCCCACCAAAGGTGATACGTTATCACAACAGTCGGAAAGAAAATGATTACAGATAGATAGTTGACGAATATAACAAGAGCCGAGAAAATTCCGAATGAAGATATGGAAAGGAATGGTGAGAGATAATTTGTGAGGAAGGCTAGACCGGTAGTCAGGGAGGTGACAAACATTGCGGATGCAGCTCGTCTGTATGTGTTAGAAAGTCGATGGGCAAGCGTAGGATATGACAATGGTGCCGTCTGTTTCCATGTGTCCATAAACACAAATACGTCGTCTGCCCCAATGCCTAAGATGATAAAAATGGCTAGAACATGAAAAATACCAAAATAACGATAGTCAAATATAACCCTGTAAATAAGGTTAGCACCGAGAAAAGATGTGAGTACACTCATAATAGCAAATGATGTTATCCAAAAAGACCCTGTCTGAAACACCATGAATATGTAGATAAACACAAAACTCCCAATCACCAGGGAAATGTCTTTGATAACTTGGGCGTTAATTTCATACGTGAATAAAGACTCAGACTGGTAGGACACCTCCACGGAACCAAGTCCATTTTCAAAGTATCCTTTCAACAAACTAGTGTATGCATTGTTTTGATGTTCCTGCAGTAGCTCATCTATGTCACCATCTGCAAGCGGGCCTCCAAATTGGATCACAATTCTCGTGATATCAGAAGTAGCAACACCTTGCGATCCATCAATAATGTAGTTTTTTCCGAGGAAAAACTGAAGTCCAGCTGCAAGTGTTGGAATACTCTGAACAGTCTCTAAAATCTGCGGAATATTATCGTAGTCAGGGTCAATAAGACTAGGGTCTACCGAAGAATATGTCCCGTCAAAGAATCGTAGAATTGACTTTGGTTTCGTGCAATTTCCATTGCTGTTTAGTAAACAATACTTAGTATAGTCAGCAACGCTCGTTACCGCTTGTTCGACGCTTTCAATTTTCTTAAAGTTTTCTTTAGTGAAAATGTTTCCCTTCTCTTCATAAAAGAGGATGGCCAATTGGTCATACTGGGAGGTTCTGTAACCACCATTTTCCGATCGTTCTCTTTCGTAGAAATTGGGAATTGATTTTCTGTCATTCCAGGCTAAATTACGTAGGAATGTATCGTCTTCCGTCAAGTCCATTGGCACAGAGGTAAAGTCGATTGGTATAAGGTCATAGCCAGCTTGGATCAGTAGTACAGAGACCATTAGAATTACCATATGACCTGATAGTGTCACTCCTATAGAATAAAAAATGTAGACGTTCAACAGAAAAAGTAAACAACTATAAATATAACCCAGTAATCCTATCAAACATTTGTTAAGTTAAAATAATGTAGGCCTAATTGATTGTATTGTGACTTGAACTAACATCAGGGCTATGATGAAGCGAAACAATGAAAACACTTTGAATTCAAAACAGGCAGGTTTATTCAAGAAAAAGCTTGTTGATCACATCAATTGTTATTATTTTAGTAAATGTGCCTTTTGACATTTACAAAAATCTAAGATTAGACATATGAACGAAAAATAATAATAGGCCTATTGTACACATTCAATCAGTTGCGAGGGAAGCGAGCACTTAAACAATATTTTCTATACAAGTATGTTTTAAACTAACATCAGGGCGATGTAGCAAAACAATGAAAACACTTTTAATTCAAAACAGGCAGGTTTATTCAAGAGAAAGCTTGTTACATCATTAGTGGCGGATTTAGAGGGTGGCGTAAGGGGAGATATGCCCCTCTATTTTTTGTAAAAAAAAATGTTTTGTACAGCGTATCAGCAAATTACCAAACAGAAAATAGTAAAAAGAAGATACCAACACAAATTTATGAAGGTGGCAGAGGTTTAAGGGAGATTCACCTCTTGCACCCTACAGGGGCTCTTTCCTGAGAGAGTCTCCCTCAGTTTGCACATTCACACCCCTCTTTCTTAAGGGGCTGGATCCGCCCCCGCATCATTGTTGTTATTTTAGTACCTATGAACGAAAAATAATAATAGGCCTGAAATTGTACACTTTCAATCAATATAAGAGAAGTGCTTAATAAAGACATTTACAGTATATTTTTATTATTTTTATAGAAATAAAGCTGTATACTAGAAGTATGAGGAATAAATACATAATTATAAAGACATGTTTTTTTCTTTAGTTAAGAAATGAATATTAGTCTTAAGCAAGTGTATAAAGGAACCTTTCGGATTTTCTGCAAAAGCTCAGTGTAGTAATTGACCTACTTGATTTGGATAAAAGCTAAGCCCACTAAACACTAAGGGAAGAATGTAAACTATCATTAACCGTTCACCCCAGAGTTCACCCCAGAGTTCACAAACTTACGGTTCCTGAGCTATTTCAAGAGGGAGTAGGCCTACCGTAAATGCTCGAATAAGTGCCGCGGGGCTTATACAATTTTTGGACGGGAGGCTTCAGTGCGGCGCTTATTCGAGAGCGAAAAACGTGTTAATTGAGAAATTGTAACTCATTAAGTGTACAGAAAGAAATAAGACAATAAACCATGATTTTTCTTTGCTGATATAAAACAGTAATTTAGAGTGTTATTATTATTATTCCTATTACAAGGCCCTATTATTATTTATATTATTATATTATTGTTTTTTTTTTATTAGCATTGTTAGGCCTATTATCCGGCTGTCGTTTCAACGTTCCATAAGGTCTGGTAGTCTTACAAAAAAATATTGTACCTTTTGTTTTTAATTGTCATTATGCACACAGAACAATCGTTTTTGTATTGAAACATTATTGCATGATTGATCTGTTATGAATAACTACAAAAACGTTACCAAATCGCCATTAGGCCTATACATTTATTTGATTATCTATTGTCATGATACGACAATTACAGTCTGTATTAGCAAATCAGTACGGTACCCTTGCAGAGATCAATACAGTGGCCGCTAATTAAGTACAGTAGATAGAATTATATTGTAGTCTTGACGATTTCGAACATATAATTTACATCCGTTTGTTATCCATAATGCTGTACTCTCGCCTCAAGGCCATGTTGGATTTCCTTTTTGCATTTTAATTGTTAAATTATGATAAATTACGGTGTCTCATATTTTCAACCACTCATGAGTTGTGCTATTGTTAGCATTTTCCTATTTGTTTCAGGTTTTTAAGGCATTCGACATTTCTGAATTTGTAAACACTTATTTATTTTTTTTATATATTGTTTTTATTTATTTATTTAGTAGTGTTCACGCATATTGTATATTTATTTTAAAAAATAGTAAACAACGACTTCCGAAAATATGCGATGTTTATTTTTGTATCCTGACTTTTATAAATAAAGTTTGTTTATTAGTTTTGTACAATCTGGTTTCTCCTGGGCTGCTCTCAATGTCTGTTTTGTGAAAAATAGAGACCTATTTCAATTTGATTTCTAAATTTTCACTGCTACACCGTCACATGGGAATGTGGTACCGATGTTAATATTGTGTAAAGTCTAAAATATTAAATAAATAAAACTTCACATTAAATTTAAAGAAACAAATAAGTTGTCAATGAAGCGCGGAACGAAATAATTGCTCTCGCTGATAAGGAGAAAACTTTGTAAATACAGTACAAGAATATGGCATATTAAATTATTTATTCTTTTATTTAAACTTTGTTTAATGGGGATAACCCGTGCAGATTACCATTAGTGATGAACTGATATTAAAGTGTCCTCAAAAAACAATATAAAATACACAGATCAAAAAGAAAAATACGGAATAAATAACGATAAAAATATATATAATAATAATAATAATTCAGATGTCAAAAACAGCACTACAAAAGCCATAACAAAAATAATAATGAAAGACGCCCTCCAATTCAAGAACATCTTCGGGATCTGAAAATTTGGGGTAGTCTCGGGGTTAGTCAACAATTAGAGGGCTAGCTTTGTGTTAAAAGATTGAGGATTGTTATTTGGATTCTCTGGAAAAAGTCGTTTCGAATTAGAGGGGTCTCGGAATTAGAGGTGACTCGAATTGGTGGGTGCACTGCAGTAATAATTCAATAACATTAACATTGACAATAGAGACAACAAGCAAAATTCCTATGAAGCAGAGATTACCTATATGATATTTTGAAAAATAGATGCTACAGTATAAGCTTTTTAAAAAGTGGCAAACGGTGTGGTTGGCAAAGCTCAGTGGTAAATGAGTTTAAACACATTGGTGCAAAATAATCGAAGCAACATCTAGTTGATTCTAATTTCTAGCCCATTACATGACTGTGCATAGAATATACAGTAGAAACGACTGTTGATGCGAAGAAAGAAAACCGTTTTTATTTGTTCTCTTTTACTATAGAAAGCCAGGCATAAGTAAGCATTTCAAATGTTATTTTGTTCAGTTTCACAAGCTCTTTAGTTTCATACTGACAGAGAGATGCGAATAGGACTAGTAATAATATTTTATTCTATTTATTCGACTGGCAAATATACATAAAAGAAAGATAAAAAAGCTGTCGGTGACGGAAAAGGCCAACAGGCGAACAATCAAGTCGACTCCCGAATTGCGCAGGTAGCAAGGGAATCAAATCAATAATATAGGATAACAATTTAAAAATGTAAGAATACAAATGTGTAAATGGAACTTTACATAAAACAATTTTTTTTTTATCTCAAAAAATAAAAATAATAGTAATAAATTAAATAATGATAATATTAATGATAAAAAATAATTTAAAAAATAAAAATAGTAATTTTAAAAAAATCATTAAATAATAATAATAATAATAATGATAATGTTAATAATAATTATAATGATGATAATAATAGTAATGATAATAATAATAATGATAGTAATAATAATAATAATAACAATTATAATAATAATATATTATTTAAAAAATAAAAATAGTAATTAAAAATAAAATTAAATAATAATAATGATAATAATAATGATAATGATAATAATAATACAAATAATAATAATAATAATAACAATACGTTTGAAAATGAAAAAAAATCGATATTGTATAATAATATGTTGATTTATAAGGCGCAAATAATAATGATAATAATAATAATAATAATAACAACAACAACAACAAAAACAACAACAACAACAACAACAACAAAAACAACAACAACAACAACAACAACAACAACAACAACAACAACAACAACAACAACAACAACAACAACAACAACAACAACAACAACAACAACAACAACAACAACAACAACAACAACAACAACAACAACAACAACAACAACAACAACAACAACAACAACAACAACAACAACAACAACAACAACAACAAGCAGCAGCAGCAGCAGCAGCAGCAGCAGCAGCAGCAGCAGCAGCAGCAGCAGCAGCAGCAGCAGCAGCAGCAGCAGCAGCAGCAGCAGCAGCAGCAGCAGCAGCAACAACAACAACAACAACAACAACAACAATAATAATAATAATAATAATAATAATAATAATAATAATAATAATAATAATAATAATAATAATAATAATAATGCAATTACCGAATGTAATTCTTGGGTGCTCTGCCACCATCTGGCACCAACGGAGAGGCTTCTTCACTTGGCTTTGTGTGTCCTTTTCTTTGCTTGTCATTGCTTCATTAGCCATATCAGGTTTTTCAACGCCAAGTGTTTCCGTCTTTTCAACATTATCATGTTCCTTGTGTTCTTCAGGCGTCTTCTTTTCCCAATGAATATCACCGTTTGTATCGTGCTCGTCCGCCATCATATAGGGCCTAAATGAGGTAGGGATGTGATTCGAACCTTACCTGAATTAAAATGACAATGATTTTAGTGCGGCTAAGGTAGGACACGACATAGGCCTACACGAAGCAAACGATTTAATAAACCATTAAACGTCACGAGAACAGTGATCATAATATTCATTTCGTTCCATTTAAATATAATTATGTATGCGAGAGTGTTATTCATAAACATTTTGTTCTCAATCATTATTAAGCAGCACATCTATATTCCAAGGCCATTGCGCCTTTGTATCACCACAATACATACCGTAATGTGTGACACATTTCAGGTAGGCCAGTGCATCGTTAGTTTACTAAAGCTATATCGTCTAAGAAAATATAATACATACTCCAAGTATTGAAATACACGCCATCGTGTTGGGATTCAATATTTCGACATTAATTATTTCAATACTTGGAGTATGTATTATACTTTCTTATCTGAGATTAATCAGTGGACCTTTCGGTTTTTGGAAAACGCTATATCGTCTACATCTTCTCAACAACAATTACATATCATACTCAGAAATATTTTCTGATTGGTTATTTTTCTTTTCAGTGTGCGTCAAAACCTCTCGTAAAAAAGGTCTGTCAAGAGTACAAAATATTTCAAAATAACGTTGAAAACACTGATAGGTATGGAAACTCATAGTGAAGCCCCTTAAAGCAATTGCGCTTGGGGCTAATATTATTTTAGCTTTATTACCGTATGTTATAAATATATAACATCGTGTATAGCAGCACTGATTCTTTTTGTCTTTTTTTGTCATGTTGTCATTGTTACCGGTACCACACTAAGACAACTTGTGTTTTAATCCATACTGTTTCTAAGCACACCAGACTGGATTAGCCAAAGAAAAATGATTTAGATAATGAAGAGACTCTAGCTTGGGCTACATTTTTCTTTTTCTGTTGTCCATAGAGACTATTGTTATATGTGCTATACACTTAAAGTGAAAAACCATTTACATTTTTTTTTAAATGGCTCTAATGTCTAATCAACCAGCTACCTAAAGTATACCGGTACATGTTATTTGTTGAAGGGCTCATTACTAATAAGTACGTAAGTATTTTTTAGTAAATTACCGGTATACACATTTATATCGGTGGCAAACACAAAGCTGGTGCATCTACGTTACACAAATAACAAAAAGAACACTGAATATCCATGATTCATCTCATTGACTGAAGTACTCTTGGGAAATCTCAACTTCCTCCCATGATCCAATAGAGTTTAATGAATGTAAGTATTGTAAGCCTGTATTGAAAGAAATCCAAGCTGGTCAGAACGTCAATAAACTAAAACGTAATTAAGCCAAAACAATAAACATCCAAACATTTCCACCAAAACGGAAAAATAGGGGATCTATGCCTCTAAAACCAATCGTACTATATCGTACGAATATATTTTGAACAGGTTCGTCGCCTACGACCTAAAAATCTCGTTATTCTTATATCTTCAATACATTTTGGCTAATTACAGACTATATCTTTGTATTTCATTTACGTATATATTTGCATATGCAGCACCTAAATTTTTATATTAATATATATATATATATATATATATTTTTATATTAATATGTATATATATATATATATATATATACGGTATATATCAATAAATATATAACACATCTAGATGTGTATAAGAGACAGCATTACAGATGCGATGTATCGGTATTGTATTAAGAACTTCATAAACGAATTTTAAATGGTGTTTTACAGAGTGGCACACATCATTTTAGCCTCAATGAAGCTGAATTTGGGAGATAAAAAATAGTTTGAGCCTGTGTAAGATGAGTTTGTCTGAGACCATGCATTGTGTATGCGGCAGTCACGGTTTTCTACGGATAATGCATTAAAAACCAGCGTCTGGTTCATATAAGTTATAGATAATTGTACGCGTAAGAGGATTTAAGTAGTGTCAACGAGGGACTAATGACCAGAACGTCTTACGATGATTTTACCCTTGCATAGCAAGCAAGTCAGGTAAAAAATTGACTGTACAATGTCACGCTACTCCATTATTTCAGTACGATGCCTAAATATAGTACACAAGTCTTCATTCGTTCATGGTATTTATTGCTCAAATCAGAAATGCCACAAAAGTGTTTCAACCCAAATGTATAGGCCTAACACTGGAATAAGCACCATGAAACTTTAACTTTTAATTAAAAATAAATAATAATAAAAATCATAAAATATATTGTAGGTATTGCACCTAAATTGCTTATTATTTATTTATTATTTATAAGTAAACAAGTAAATTTAATTTAACAAGTAAAGTTATAAAGGACCAAATATTGTATTGGTACTCACATAAACCATACTCGAACCAATGAAATCGTTCAACGTTATTATGTTCTCGAACGGTTGTTAAAGTATGTCAGAAAATTACATTAAAAAAAAGTGGCAGCAAGGCTACAATGTTATTTTTTGTGAAAGTGCGTTTTATAAAAACGTACCGTACTTATGGTTCTAAAAACGTTTTATATATACCAAAGTGTAACGTTATTATAACATTATGACCTACCGTAAGTCTCATTACGGGGCTACTTAGGAGTGGGATAGGGATGTGATTTAGTCGCAAGAAACTATCATGTGCTGTCACAGGCTTTGAACCAGGAACCTAAGATTGGAAGGCAAGCATCTCAAGCACCAAGCCGCATCTCCACACATCACGTATTACAAGAATTTTTTTAAAGATACTTATGTTTCAATAGTTAGCCCTAGCCTATATAATAATAATAATAATAATAATAATACCGTATTTATATAGCGCCTAACAGATCACAGATACCTCTAGGCGCTTTACAATTCTTAATTTAAGTTAATTTAATTTAATTTAATTTCAAGATTGACCTTAACTTTGTTCACTTAACTACAATATGGTAAAAACTATCCCCCACCGGACACGAACCCAGTATTTCTGAGTCAAGGTTTCGGGGCCGGGTTTTCAAGATAGGGCACTTAAATAATAATAACAACAATAATAATAACAATAATTACAATAATAACAAATTTAATTAAGAAACAGGTGAGCTTTCAGTTGTGACTTGAATATACTGACTGATGGAGAACATTTAATATGGATTGGTAAGTTATTCCAGACTGCCGGTGCTGCCGCAGCAAAAGACCTCCTTCCATACGCAGTGGATGTTTTAGGTACTGACAGTAGGTAGTTACCAGCTGACCTCAGCGAAAGCGAATGGGTGTATTCTGAAATTAACTCACGGATGTAACCTGGAGCAATTCCATTCAATGCTTTTATGTGATGCGCTTATACACAGGCAGCCAATGAAGGTCTTTTAACACCGGTGTTATGCTGTGTCGCTTTTTTGTCAGAGTGACGATCCTTGCTGCGGTATTTTGAACTTGCTGCAGTTTGGCAATCTCGTAGTCAGGTAAACCGTATAAAAGGCTGTTGCAGGAGTCGAGGCGAGTGCTGACAAATGCATGAATGAGCTTTTCGGCGGATGCTCTGTCGAGATACTTGCGCGCTTGACCTATTTTTCTGAGGGCAAAGTTAGCAGCCTTACAGATACTGTTAAAGTAAGGCTCCGGAGGAAAAAAAATTTGATATTTTGTAGAACTGATTTTTCTGAGACAGAAAAAAGTTGTTTGACGAAAAACTGAGCAACGGTGAATGAGATACAGATTTTTGAATATTTAAAAACTGGGGGAAAAAGGTGTAAAAATGGGCGGTTACGCCCCTTTTCCCCCCATTTTTTAAATATTCAAAAATCTGTATCTCGTTCACCGTTCCCCAGTTTTTCGTCAAATAACTTTTTTC